TAAACAAGCTAATAGGATTCCAACAAGAGTTTGGTAAGCAAATGCCTGACCCTGAGACTCTTATGTCGAGCTGCATGGTTTGGTACCTACACCAGTCACTCCCAAGTTGCATTTACATTTCTGCTTTTTAAAGAAAGTTCTGTTTAAGTGACAGAGCTCTATAGGCTTCTGACAAATACTGATTTGTATTTGTATTCATTTCTGAAAATCCTAGAGCTGTTCCTTGTCAGGAATTCTGCAATGAAATGGTAGCAGATTTAGCCATCCAGCTAAATTTAATAGCGAATGTAGTTAAGTCACTGGGGTGGTGGTGGTGGATTAGGTTAGGTTAGGATGAGGTGCCATTCACACAATTGGCAGTTTCACAAATGGCTTTTGAAAGGTAAATTGCAAGCTTCCAGGTTGATTCTGGGTTTGGAACCTGTTGTCGAGGTAGAGAACTTTACCTTTTTGCTCTCTTCCCACTATGGGCCCAACTTAGATCAGCCCCACCCCCCACCTGCAATTGGATCTTTTCGCAAAATGGAAGTAGTAGCATAGGGTGCCCAATCCAGATCAGGGCAGCAGTTGGTGGTGGTGGTGGGGTAAAGGATTAAAGTCACCTAAAATAATGTGGAACTGAGTCCCCATGCCTGCATTTTGCTTTTAAGAAAAAGCTATTCATGTAATTTCCAAATGAATGAATGACATTGTGTCTACTTTGGCATTCAGCTGTAATTTGGCAGTTAATAAATCTGGAAAGAAAATGCAAAGTTAAGCACAATAAAGATGTGCCTTCAATCACATGAATGTAAATTGCAGAGGTATAAAAGATGCATGTTGTTTTTCCCAGCCTTTTATCCCCTCTGTGTTTTAGACTGTAACTCCCACCACCTCCCAGTCAGCATAGCCAAGGGTCAGTGGTGATGGAAGTTGTAGTGCAGTAATATCTGGAGGGCACTGGGTTATGAAACTCTGCAATAGATCCTTGCCTATTTATGATAGTATTAGCTAGGAAGTTGATTAAATGTTCCAGCTAATGTCCATCATCATAATGTTTTCTCTGATGTGAGCAGGAAGACAGTATTAAGCCTAAGAATATAATTCAAAGTATGAAACAGTAAAATATGCAATACAATTAAATTATGATGCTTGAGAGCTGAAATATATTGATCAAATGCTCATCCCTTTGTTTGATCATCATCTTAGGGCTCAGCAAACACACTAACACAAGCTCTCAAAAATAATCCCAGATTAAAATAAGAAGAGACAATGTCAGTGACTTGCTAGGTCCATTTCCTTCCCCTATCAAACTCGAGAGAAGAACAAAGTAGGGTTATGAAACATTTGACATTTATTTCTGGAAGAGGGGCATGTGTGTCAGTCACATGCAAGGGTCATAAACACTGCAAAGAAAAAATATTTGTAGTTATGTGCATCCTTACAGAGCAGACAATTTGAAAAAGGCAGGATGCATTTATATGAAAGCTGTTCTCTTACATGCATGCATTTTTCATTATAAACCTATAAGGGATGCTGCAGAATATTTTTAATAAATAACAGTAACTGTGCTCTGCAATCATGTGTAAAGAGGGTGTGTGTGTTTCCAACAGTGTCACTCAGCTGACTGTAAAGCATCTGTCAGCAAGCAGAGAGGGAAGTAATCTTTGGTGATACTCCTTCCCCTCTGGAGCAGATTTCGTGAGAGCTGGACCATAAAGAAGGCTGATCGCCGAAGAATTGATGCCTTTGAATTATGGTGCTGGAGGAGACTCTTGAGAGTCCCATGGACTGCAAGAAGATCAAACCTTAAGGAAGATCAAATTCTTAAGGAAATCAGCCCTGAGTGCTCACTGGAAGGACAGATCCTGAAGCTGAGGCTCCAATACTTTGGCCACCTCATGAGAAGAGAAGACTCCCTGGAAAAGATCCTGATGTTGGGAAAGATGGAGGGCACAAGGAGAAGGGGACGACAGAGGACGAGATGGTTGGATATTGTTCTCGAAGCTACCAGCATAAGTTTGACCAAACTGCGGGAGGCAGTGGAAGACAGGAGTGCCTGGTGTGCTCTGGTCCATGGGGTCACGAAGAGTCGGACACGACTAAATGACTAAACAACAACAAAGGGAGTTGTGTGTGGTGGGGAGAGCAGGATTCTCCAAAGATTTATTGTCTCCTCATTGTGCTGGCAGAAGAAGTACTGTAAGCTGAGTGACACCTAAGAATCCTTTTTTTTTTTTCTTCTTATACAATGCTTAAAATATAACTGGCCATGCTGACAGAAGCTCATGCAAGGACTTCTACTAGTGCAATGGGGCTTCACCCCCTTTCTCCCTCCACTCCCTCCCTCCGAACTGGCTTGGGCTGGGATTAGGAGGGCCACCAGAACAGGACATGGTAGAGGAGAGGAGAGATCATTCCACCAGGCAAGCAGAAATAGCAATTACTAACTTGCACCATTGATTTTAGTGGAAACCAATTTAAATATTCCGGATCCAACCCAATGTTATTAACTTATATGTATTGTGAAGATAGATGGATAGACGTATGGATGGATGGATCTCCCCCTAAACCTTTGGGACTGGGAGTTAGAGAGATCTAAAATAATGGTGGTTGTAATGATGTAAGTAAAATGCCTTGGGCAAAGCTTTCTAAAACAAAAACAAGGTGCATAATGAAACAAGTCTTATGAAGAATAGCAGCCCTCTCATTTTGTGCCCATGAAAGACACAGTCATTCAAACTGACAATTGTTCTCCTTTAGCAATAGATTGGCTTCTGCTTCCACTTGTGTCATATGCAATTTTCCCTCTTCATATTTTGCTTTAAAATATTTAGACAGAGTAGCGGGTTTTAAATGTGTCATTGACACAAATAAATGTTTAAGTAGCCATTCTACCCTGGGCTCTGCTCTTGTCAGATCTGATAAGCTAACCATGTTTGGATCTGGTCAGTAATTGGATGGGAGATCTCAGAGGAGCACTGAAAAGCTCAAGAAGTTTTCTTGGTTATTCAGTAGGTGGTATTTTAACCTCAGAGTAGGGTTGACATCCCAGTAAGGATAATGGCAGGGATGTCATGCATCAAGTCCTGCCATAGCAGTCTTTTCCTTAATAAAAAGTTCTAGTGCTTGTGTCTAAAATTTGTAGTTTCATTGTAGTATACTTTTATTGCTACGTTTTTAGTCTTTTTTTTGTAAGATGACTAAAATGCTTTGATGAGGCATCCATCAAATAAATAAGGCCATCAGACACCATAACTTCCCCAACCTAATGCCCCCCAGATGTTGAATGACTGTAATTCCCAATGAGCCCCAGTCAACATGGTCAGTGGGTTTCTCAAACACAGGAACTACTCAGCCACAGTGCCACTGTTTTGCTGGGATTAACCTTTAAGTTCTCACCAGCCAAAAATGGACAAGGGGATTTTCACCTATTCCCTCTACTTCCCACAACCCCTTGTGCCCTCCTCCCCAAAAAATCTGTTCTAGGGGGTTACCTACCTTTAGTCTGTGGAATCCTCTTTTGGATCTTTGTCCTATTAATAAATATCCATTTAGCAGAAGCCTATTTAGGATTAAATTCATAATAAATAAATAGCTAACAAATAATAAAGTGCAGTTGAAGTACTGAGTGCTGTGCAGATTCTCTGTGGTCTAAACCACTGAGCCTCTTGGGCTTGTCAATCATAAGGTTGGCGGTTCAAATCTGTATGATGCGGTGAGCTTCCATTGCTTTGTCCCAGCTCTTGCCAACCTAGCAATTCAAAAGCATACCAACGCAAGTAGATAAATAGGTACTGCTGTGGTGGGAAGGTAAACCATGTTTCTGTGTACTCTGGCACTCATCATGGTATTCCGTGCACCAGAAGTGGTTTAGTCATGCTAGCCACATGATCTGGAAAGCAATCTGTGGATAAATGCTGGCTCCCTCAGCCTGAAAGCAGAGATGGGTGCTGCACCCCATAGTGGAATTCAACTGGACTTAACCATCCAGGGATCCTTTACCTTACCTATAACTCACAATTTTGATATGAAATGCTCCATGTATAGTGTTTGGGTAAGGTAAAAGGTAAAGCAAGCCAGAGTTAATGCTCTGGAATAATTTGAAAAATGCTACCACTGCAGCTTGGATTGTTTAGTCTTTGTGTTACAGACAGCCCAGATTCAGAGTAGGCTTCTTGTGCCAGTCACTGCAGAAACCTTAAATCTTAGAGAGATCCAGCTCAAAAAAGAGCTACAGTTAAATAGACAAAGGCACGAAAATGCAAAAGAAAATGAACATATATTAAATTTGTTGACAGGAAAGAAACATGTTAAAGCTTTTCTTGACCCCTGCCTTCAGCCAGGCTGCCAATCCAACCCTGCAATGATTGTACTGCTTATTTATAAGGGCTTAAGATCGAATGTAGTAAAAAACAACAACAATAGGATTGTGATGCCAGACATCTTTGGAAAATGTTGCATTATATAATACTGAAAGAAAAAGCCTCATTCTTCAAATAACTTTCTCCAAAGTGATCTTACAATAGCAGCACCCCAGAGTGAGTGTTAAGTTTTTGTGTCACTAGGAATGCATCAACTTTGACTATGGTTGGGTTTTCCAAGGTCACAGTAAGCTCACAACATGAGAAGCTGAACCACCAGCCACTAGTACTCCATACCTTAAATATGGGAAGTGGGAATACACTTGCAGTTTAACTGCTTCCACAATGAAATCTTTACAAATGATTACTTATTTAAGTTGGCTTCAAAGTGCCCTGGAGTGGGGCATGAGATACTCAATCATTTGCACATTTCTAGGCAGTTTTCAAGAATGTTGAAAACCCTGAACAGGGAATGTGTGATCAGTTACCACTCAGCCCAGATTTCCACTGATGATTCAGATATTTAAAGCTTCATGTTAAAAAGTCCTGATGAAGCGCTTGCTCAATCAATCAATCAATTATGAATTCTAAGGGTTGCAGCCAACTAAGTGGCACTCAAGAGTAGACCCATTGAAATCACTGCACCTATGTTAGTCATGGATAGCTCAGTTGGTAAATCATGAGACTCTTAATCTCAGGTTTGTGGTTCAAGACCCATGTGGGGCAAAAGGTTCCTGCATTGCAGGGGGTTTGACTAGATGACCCTTGTGGTCCCTTGCAATTCTACAGTTCTATGATTCTACTATGACCAGTAATCCCAGTGAATCTACTTTGACTCACATTGGCCACCATTCTAAAGTTTGGTTTTAATTCTGGAAGTGCAAGACTATTGCACCCATCAAATGTCCACACTGTTGCACACCATACATCTGCAGTTAAGATCTACATACTTAATGTCACCTGAACGCATCTCGAAGGATGTGTGTTTAGGATTGCAGCTTTAAAACACAGCACTACCTGGCTTACCACCACCACTGGGGAAATCTTGAGTTTTCATTTACACCTCAGTGAATCTGCGACAGTTGAGCCTAGTTGACACAAAGCCTGAGAAAAATGCTAGGCTCCTTTCTGAGTGGAGATAAATTGGGAGTTTGGGAATGAAAGACAAGATATGGAATCGTGAAGCTGCTAATAGCTCTATTGCACTTTTCTAAGTCTCTCTCTGTGTGTGTGGTGTGTGTGTAGAGTAGTTTCAAGCATCAAAGGATGCTCTTTACTTAGCCAGTCTATATCACCACTTTTTCCCTGGTGCATCTGGTGCATTTTTGTTGGTTTAAATATTTAATACAGTTCTATTCTTCCTTGAAGATTAAAATCACAATGACTTAAAGCACTGGAAGCCATCAAAATACATCAAATAAAATGCTGTCAGAAAGCCACCAAAACAGTCATTAATAAAAACACAATATAAGAACAATATATAAAGATTAAGGGACCAATAAATCAACCGCTTGCTGAAATAAAAATGTCTCTATAGACGGAAGGGATAGAGTAAGCGTGGAGGGACCAAAACCAGCCACCCAAAGCATATCCAACTGCCCTGACCTGATCCTAAGAACCTTTCCTTTCCATGCTCACAAACACATTTATATACCTCAGTTGATGTTTGCTAAGCAGAGTCAGAGGCAAAGGGACAGAATAGATTCTTAACTGTTTCTTTCTCAATGTAAACAGCAGAAGTTCTCTATGCACCTTAGTTGCCCATTGCTGTTCAAGTTGTGACACTGGCAAATCAAAGTAAGCAAGTGAGGTACTTAAGGCAAGCAGGAGTGCTCTGTGAAATAACTCTGTTGCTGTTCACACAGGGTCAGAGAAAATGAAGAATCCTTAGTGTGTACATGTTAGTGGCTGATGACACCAAACTGAGAGGGATAACTAATGCCACAGAAGACAGACCTGTGGGTATAGGGCGGTATATGAAATATAATAATAATAATAATAATAATACAGTCATACCTTGGTTGATGAATGCCTTGTGAGTTGGTTTTGGCTCCCAAATGTCGAAAACCCAGAAGTGAGTGTTCCAGTTTGCGAACGTTCTTTGGAACCCGAACATCCAATGCAGCTTACGTTACTTCCGAACGTTTTGGAAGTCAAATGGACTTCCAGAATGGATTCTGTTTGATTTCCAAGGTACCACTGTACAAGATTACCTTAATCAAATGGAGAACTGGGCCAAAACTAACAAAATGAATTTCAATAGGGACAAGTGTAAAGTTCTGCACTTATGCAGGAAGAACCAGATGCACAAATATATATGGGGGACACCTGGCTTGCCAGTAGTACATGTGAGTACTTCCAGGTGGGGAGGAGTTGCGGTTGGTCTACATGGCCACCCACTCCTTTCTGGAGTTGGTGGGACTGCGTCCCTCATCATTTGGTGGTCCCAGCCACGTCATAGCTCCGACAGCCAATCTGGCTGGTTGGGGGGCATGGCTGGGACCATTTAAGCCTTGGCGCGAGCCAGGGAGCTCTCTTCTGGCTCAGTTTGCTGATCTCCCGCCCTGACCTCCCTATTTTCAGGTACTGACACTGGCCTTGCTATGGACCTCAGTTGGTCACTGTTGAGGGGCCTAGTAGGAATTTTTCCACTTGGCAAATTGGGTTGGGCCATTTGGTTTTCACCTACCTGGTAGCATTCATCACAACTTTGTAAGGTTTTGTGGTTGGTTTGTTTACAAATAATTTTTATTAACCGACCAATCAAATCAAATCACATCACATAAATTCCGAATTACAAAGCCGAATTTTACATTTTTGTTGAGGGGACCCATATTTCAAGTTCCGAAGGGGGATTCCAATCATCTTCTTGCTGCTGCGTTAATATCCACAAATCTGTCCAAATAATGTTCATAATTCTATCCAGTCCTATCTTGCTGTTTCCACATCTCATCTTGTTCGTATATTTTTTCTTTTTTTCTTTATGATCTCTTCTGATAATCTCCTTAAGTAGGTAAACACCAATTATAATCCTGTTTGAATTTTTCCGTTCGTCCAATCATCATATCAAGATGGTTTCCATATATCATCACTTTCATAGATAACAGCACTCTTTCCATCATTAGTCTCGCAAAACTGTCGCTCTTTTGTCCCTCTGAGGAGGCTCACCCACAATATGAAAACAGATCTGTTCCTCCTCCCAGACATAAGTCTTTCGACAGAACTTACCAATATGGCAACGCTATTTTTTGCTGCGTCATTCCAAAGCTCTTATGCTTTCCACGATCTTCTTAAAACATGCTTTGGTTAGAAAATTATCTCCACACAGTCTTAAATCCACAGCTTAAGTCATTTAAACGGCATTTCTGACTTATGACTTGTGGGGGGGGGGATTCTTGGTTAATCACATAGAGAAAAGAAAGGAAAGTCCCCCCCATCCAGTCCCGTTGCCAAACATACCAAGCCTTGGTGTGTCTTCTCATGATTTATTCCTGTTCCTCCGACCCGTCTTATTTATCAGAGATCTCTTCAGTTAGCAGTCTTTACTCCCCCTTCTTTGTAAGGTTTTGTGGTTAGGCATTGGTTGAACTTATGTTGGGGGAGGGGAGGTGTGGCTATCACCTGCCCCTCCAATGTTAAGGGTATTCTGTTAAAGGAATCTGGGGTTGTGGATCTTGTCCGAAGCCTGTGGAGGGGCTAGGGCCATGCCACAGCACCATCGGGAACCCAGGGGTGAGCGTGAGTTGATTCACATTGACAGTGCTCCTCCTACTGGTGGTTGACCCTTACAAGACTCCCTGCATGGCAGGCCGGAGTCAGATATAGTTGGGTCAATTCCAGTGCCTAAGCCAATACCGCTCACATTCTGTAACCAATAAAGTTGTGGCCTAAATTTCCCCACTAACTATTAACCTAATATCTGTGTCCCTGTGTTTCATTCATCAGTGGGGGGGTGGCCTTGGGGTCTTGACACGCAAAAGGATCTAGGGGTCTTAGTAGAGCAAAAGCTACAGTGTGATGCAGCAACAAAAAAAGCTAATTCTATTCTAGGCTATATCAACAGAAGTATAGTGTCCCAATCAAGAAATGTAATAGTACCACTGTAATCTGCCTTGGTCAGACTGCACCTGAAGTAATGTGTCCAGTTCTGGGCACCACAGTTGAAGAAGGATGTTGACAAGCCGAAACGTGTGCAGAGGAGGGGAACCAAGATGATAAAGGGTCTGGAAACCAAGCTTATGAGCAACAATTAAAGGAGTTGGGTATGTTAAGCCTGGAAAAGAGGAGACTGAGGAGATATGATATCTATCTTCAAATATCTAAGGGCTTTCATATGGAGCAAGCTTGTTTTCTCCTGCCCTGGAAGATAGGACTCGAACCAATAGCTTCAAGTTACAAGAAAGGTGATTCCAACTAAACACCAGGAAGAACTTTCTGACAATAAGAGCTGTTTGACAGGGGAACAGTCCATGAGTGTAGCCAGCATTTTTGTTGGGGATGGGCAGGCTTTTGTTGGGGGGTGGGGTAGAACCTCAGAAGTGTATTGATTTTTATCAATTTAGAGGAGCAGCTGCCCCCTGCCCCTCCCCAGGCAAGGCCTATGGAACAGTTTCCCTCAGGAGATTGTGGCCTCTCCTTCCATGGAGGTTTTTTTAGCAGAGTTTGGATGGCTGTTGGCTGAGATTTCTGCATTGCAGGGTTTGAACTAGATGACCTTTTGGGGTCCCTTCCAGCTTTAGAGTTCTGTGATTCTGTCACCTTGGTAAATATTGATCACTTACCTCACAATCTACCATGTGGTTCTCCTACCAAAGGTACACTGTGGCTGTTCAGTTTACTTGAAAGTACATTATTTGGATGAAATATGACAGGCTTCTGAATAGACATTCATATATTGCGCTGTCAGATTCATAGGGTTTGCACAAGAGTAGTCCCTGCTTGATTTTACTTGCTTGAGAAAGATCCATGAGCATATAAATGTCCTCATTCAATTACCTTCAACGTAAAGTTATGAACTAAAAATATTTTGCATTAAATTGGAACAGATTGCTTATGGTAACTCTTGCATAATGAAAGGGTACAATGAAGAATTGCAATTCAAATTACTTTTCAGGTCTGTTCAATTTTTTTATTTTTTTAATAGAAAATTGCACAGTATAATTACAGCATATTCATTTGCATTCATATTGAAGCCTTGTGAGCAATTTTGCTCTTTTATACTTTTTAAAAAATATTTTAGAAGTGTGACTTGAATCAATAAATTCCAGCACTGAATATCAAATTGACACTTCTCATTCAAAGTTTTGTGTGGGTTTTTTAAAAACCCTTTCATAAATTTCAATTTTATAAATTTCATAAATCTTCATTGTGTATCCACACCATTGCATGAGGCTGTTACCTATGCAGAAGACATAACTTGGGGTGCAGACTTGGAAGGCTGTTCAAAACCTTCGTTAAAACTTAAGGCTTACAGTTCATGCTCACAACCCAACACAATCCAATTAAAATGAATAGGCTTAAGAAAAAGCTATTGTGATGATGATGATTAATAATTTATTATTGTTATCGTTATTGTTATCTGGCCCCCTCCTGGCCAGAGCCAGGCTCAGAGTGGCTAACATCAAAATATATAATACATTAAAACATAAAGTTCAGCAATCAACTGAAATACAGCTTAAAATCAGATTAAAATCAAATTACCCACAAATTATAACTATAGGGATTGGA